TGCAACGCTACACTACTGTAAAAAGTTTTTACAGTCTCCATGTTTTTGTCTTGTTTTCCAGTACAAATATCTAAATATTCTAAAACCAAGATGCATTTAATTGAGAAGCAAAATGACATGAGATTGCAAGTCTTGTTTTTTGGAAAATGAGTGAGTTAAAACTAAAAAAAAAAACTAATATCTGGTAAGAAACTGGGGTTAGAAAAATTCCTTTTAATTAAGTTCAGCAGATTTTGTTTCTTGTTAAAGCTTAAACTCATTTAATTTTGATCTTTTTATCACAAACCAAGACTTAATATTTGGCTTCTCAAGATATTAAGTCTTGTCTTTTGCTAAATTTACCAAAATTAAGTCAGTTTAGGCTTAAAACAGAAAAAAAAACCTGCCATTATGGTAAGAAAAAAAAAAATCTGATTTTTCTGACACTACTGGCAGAGTTTTTTTCTTGTTTTAATATTAAACACCTAATTTAAGTACATTTTCCGAAAACAAGTCTTAGTATCTAATATAATTTGCCTTCTAAAGTACATTTTTCTTGATGAAAGTAAATGTTTCTTGATTAAAGAATGTTTAGATATTTGTACCAGAAAAAAGACAACAGTACTGAGGAAGCAATTTGCTGTTTGCAGTGTAAAAGCCTGATTATCTTCTTATTTTTATTGTAGTAGGCAGGGATCTGTTGTCTGAGGTGAAAGAAGAGGAGGGAGAGAGAGGTGACCTGGCCTTCCTGCAGGATCTGCTGAGTCCTGGGGCTGCGGGTGGCACTAGTGAGTTTAGTAAGGCATGGCAGGATGCTTTCGGCTGTTTTGAGGCCCCTCCTGCTCCTGTTACTGCTCCTTCACTGCAAACAGGAACGGCAAACACACCCACTGGCTTCCTGCCATCACAGCTCCTGGACCATAGCCTTAGCGCCACAGGTTTGCACAAACTTTTATTTGCCCTCTACTGGCTGGAGGAACGAACAACACAGTTTTGTTGTGCGACTAGTATTCAGTGCAGTCACTGTGATGTTCATATTCATTCTCTTTCTGTTGTTCAGGATGGGCGACTCCACCCATGTTTCAAGCCTCGCCCCTCCAGCCACCTTCCAGTGGAGGACAGCCTACCCAGAATAGTCCACACTCATCTGCCAGTGGTGAGAGTTTTATATCACATGTCAAAAATTAACAGATGGATACAGACAATCTTAGATGGTCTTTTTTGTACTGTTTCTGTAGTGATTCATCTCTCTGTGTCTTTTTAGCACCTAAGGGAAGCTCCAGGGACATGTCTGCCTGGTTTAACCTCTTTGCAGATTTGGACCCTCTGTCCAACCCAGATGCTATTGGACGCAGTGATCAGGAGTTCCTTAATGCCTAAGGTGTGTTATTGTGAGTTTGTATATATTTATCACTGACAAGTCCCATGTTTATAAAAATATACCTTTTTTGTTGTTGATATTGTTGATATTATATTTGGTATATATATATATATATATATATATATATATATATATATACATATACAG